TCTCTTCAAACCCTGCGCCTGGTGGCTAAGAGTTGCCCTACTCATCCAGGATGAGGGTCTCTGATGTCACCAAGGAGTCAATGGTACATTCGTTCTGGGATCCTGTCTGGATCCCATTGCATATCAGATAGTTCCCCCAGTTTTCTGAGCCTGTGACGTGCGACCCGTGATTCAGGTTGCCTGTGGTGGAGGAGGGAGGTGGAGCTGAGAAGGCCGCTCGCATTGTATCCTGCAGGCCAAGGTCAACCGCGGCTCACCGCTGTTATTGTCGCCGTGGTTGTTGTGCCCCAAGTTGTTCATTCCGATATTCCTGTTGCCGATGTTGCCGTTGTCGTCCGGCTGGCACCTGGGGATTCCCTCGGGCAGGCACTCGACGACCGCTATGACACGGCACGGGGCGTCATTCGCAGGCGTGCACGTCTCCCGAGTGTGTGGATCGAGCGCCTCAATAGTGAATTGGGGAAAGGGCGTCGATTTGAAGATGCGTTCCTCCCTTACCGCGCCCACTCCTGCGAAGCCCTGGAGCCTGAATACGGCGACATTGAGGGAGGAGACTGTCAGCGGCGAGTTGGAGCGTGTGCAGAAAGGCAAGCACCAGTCCTTTCAATTTCATACGCTGCCTGATTCTGCAGCCCTACATCAGCTCGATGATCCCCTGCTCACGCACACTGCTCACCGGCAGTAGGTGTCGACGTTGCTTGAGCTTGTCAGGTAGGTCGTGTTCTGGTACCTGCAAGGCGGTGCAGCATGCGATGGATGTGGAACACAGCCCAGACCAGGTCTGCTGTGGGTGTGCCAGGAAAGCACCGGGAGGTGCGGCATTTTGGGCATACCCATGTGCAGGACCTACTTGATGGTGGGCAGACCAAAGAAGCTGGTTCGAGGATCACAAGTCTGCTTCGGCGGCGGCGGCGGCGATGGATGGGGGGAGGGGGGGGAGGGGGGTGTGGGGGGGGGGGAGCGAACAGTTTGATCGTCTCGTTGGTGGCCAGCCAGAGCAGCGGGCACCGATCAGTTTTGGCAAAGTTGCATAACATTCGCTGGCCAGTCAGTCCAGTCCCGATGTTATCGCTGCCAATGTTGTGGTTTCCTGTGGATGTGTGTCTATGCAATCGCCTCACAGATTCATACATGGGGGTACATTCCAGCAGGCGCACAAACTTGCCATCATTACCTCCACCAGCATCAACCCTCCTGGCATGGGACGTACCGTGGTTTCGGTCTCCAACATTGTTGTCGCCTATGTTATTCTTGCCAGTGTTCCCGGTCCCAATGTTGTGATCCTGGTCCTCCACACACCCCGGTACACCGTTGGGGAGGCACTGAACGAGGGCGATGGCCTTGCACACCACCGTGGCGGAGGGGGTGCAGGTGGTGAATGAGGCTGGATTGACGGTGCCTATGGTAAAGTCCTTGAAAGGTCCATCATTTTTCAGATCCAAGGACTGCATGACGATGCCTCCACCGTTGTATCCTTTGAGCCTGAGCAGGGCGAGGGACGCACATCTCAATTCGACACAGCAGCGCATCCGTACTAGAGTAGATAGATGAATGATAAATAATGTGAGACTCATATCGGTATATATTGAGCTTCCTGCCCTCCCGAACAGTGCGTGCACGTACCGGCAATAGAAGTCGGTTTCCTTGTCATTCACCATGTGCAGAGAATCTTGATATCTGCGTGCGGAACGAGGCGGCCCTGAGAGGTCATCGCCAGGAAGGGATGAAGCCGGTGCCGGAGAAATCGCACCGAACCATTCGAACCTCTTCAGGCGCCTGCTCACCGAATTGTGGGGAGGGCGAAGAAACGTATGCCGGGATCGCAGGCGGCCTGTCGGGGGCATGGGTCAATTTGTAAATCCACTGGTGCTCATTCCCGAGGGAGAGGATGTGCACCTCATGCCAATAACCGATCCTTGAATCCATGCACTACTATCCTCACATCTGCAACCCGGGTTTTGACGGAGAGGAGAAGCAGTATGCCCAGTGAGAGGGACAGCACGCCAGGTCTTCCCATCCTGAAGGACAGGGGCCCAGGCTTGAAAGATACTCTTGCGCGGATGAGCACTACGAACACGCCTTCGAGCAGGTCAATTTACGATAGACTCAAAGATGGCACTTTTGCATTGCGACTGAATCGAGAGCGCGGTCCGGGGCAGTGCGCTTAGCCTGGGCGCATTGCAGCTGGCATGCGAGTGGGACCGGATGCAAGCCCGCGTGCCTCTCCGGTACGGACGCGGACAAAGCCGTGGAGTCCGTGGGTACTTCGCGCCGTGTAGCTGACAATCACCATCTCCATCCCCCAGCCAGTGAGAAACAGTTCTTACATGTTCTCGTAACGTTAGCATCATGTACGTTATGATTCTGAAAAGGAACACAGCAGCACTTGTGTGGATTCTGGCTGCCTTGACTATCTGCCAGACTGCGCATGTAGGTATGGGTTGTCGGTGATCGTCGCAAACCTGCATGACCCGAGAGCATAATGCTCATAAATACGCACCGGATGATCAGAATAGAGAGTAAATGTTGCCTCGCAGGCGGACTGCGATCCCGGGGTCGCGCTCTTCGCCCTTCCTACTGTGTAGTGAGTTCACGTGAGGGGGATCATGGGATGACGGGCTCGGCAGTCTCATTCAAGTGTGGCACTCTGCGCTTCATCATTATCGTGCTCCCCGCTCCCAATCGCAGTTACCGCGGCGAGATCATGCTGGTGGACAACCATAGGAAGTTCTGTCAGTGAGTTGTTCTCGCTACCCTACATATGATTCTCATGCTGATTGGCAAATGGGATCTGTTCCAGCCTCCTGGAGTCCCAGCAACAGTGGTGCATGCCATGACCATTTTGTCCTTGTGCACATTCCTCACAGGTTGAAAGGGTTCAGGGATGGATTTTACCAGAATAATATATATCTGACGAAGGACATGTTCCCTGACTTCAACATCCGTGTTCTGAATCTAGGGGATGGCTCGACGTGCGATCCCCGTCAGCGTCAGTGCGAATTTGTTCGCTTCGTTGAGTGCGTTCCCGAGGGCGCCTATCAATGTTCGGATGACTTCACATGGATTGTTGGAATGGGAACGGGCAACGCGGGGAGCTGGAACTTTGGAGACTTCAACGTGGGGGACAGTAACATAGGTGAGACCTGTTGTTCAGCTGGTGACTGTGCCTGCCATGAAAATCACTTCTCTGATCCATGTCCACGAGATACTCACAGGCAACCGCAACATAGGGTGGAATAACGTGGGAAGCAACAACACCGGCGAGAACATTATTTGCCACAACCTGTCAGGCAATGACCGCTGTCGGCTGTCAGACCTGCTAACAGGAGAGACCTACTTCCTCGATGCGCCCCCCTACCCTCCTCCCCGGCCCCCTCGGCCTTTTGATCCTCCGTCTCCTTCCCCTCCCAGCCCCCCACTCCCGCCACCTTCACCTCCGCCGCCGGGACAGACCTGCGACTCTGGCACAAGGTTCATCGCTCTGCCCACCATCGAGTGCGCGGGGTGGTATGCTGATGGCTGAGTGGACTGGGAGGGCGGAGATGACGGTGCGTCGAAGCAGAGGACATTGTCCTTCCGGTGCTGCCGAGCTAAGCCATATAACCTCCTCCACATGATTGGCAGGTACAATGGGGTTCTGTATCTGACGAGTCCGAGCAGCCCCGATGCCTACTGTCGGTGAGTTCCTATTGTCACCAGGCCACTGCTCAGACTTCGGTATGGAGTGTGTTTTCGACAATGGAGCTCGCAGATTAGATCAAACAACCCTATTGAAACAACTTACTGTTAATTTTGCAAGCTGGTACCCCTATAAATGCCACAGGTTGAAGGGATTTGCAGGGTCAGGGTCGATGAGAATTCTGCCCATCACCCTGAGCACGCCTTTCAGCAAGTTCAGCATCAGCACACTGGATCCAGGGACTCTGGAGATGTGTACACCGACAGAGGCGACCTCCTGCCAGTCGATTGCGGTGATTGAATGCCTGCCAGAAGGGATTCCCAAATGCACACCGGATGCCAGTGGCAACATTGGAAACGGCAATATAGGATCCAACAACTTGGGTCACAACAACAATGGCAACAACAACGTCGGTAAGGGAGCATGCAACCCCAATCCTCGGCCTGGCCTTCTCAAGAGCCTTTCTTCGAGTTTTGGTTGCCCTCCTCACTCCGCAGGCAATCACAATCATGGGAGCAATACCACGGGGAGCGAGAACTGGGGCGACAATCTCGTTTGCAACAACATTCAGGATGGCGGCCAGGACACTTGCACTGTGACGGACCTACGCACAACCGACACGATTGTGCTCAAAGTTCATGCACCTTCCCACACTCCTTGATCTGCTGCGCAGCACTTCTTGCTATGACATGTGCTTGAGCGCAGCTTGAGCTGCATGGGTCCAAGCATCTCTCCTGTCTTGTCGACTATTTGAGCTTACTCCATGATTCCCCAGCCCCATCCGACCCCTTGAGCCTTAATGTCTTTCATGGTGATTTTTGTAGTGGATGCGCCTCGCCCTCTGCCATGCGCGCGCTGCGCACCGGGTAACCCTCCGGCTTAGCGGCCAGCAGCCAGACATCACAAGGAGGCATCGCTGGATCGACAATAAAAACACGCTGCACAGCTCCGGTAACCTCGTCCCTTGCTCTCTCTTCTCGCAAAGTCCATTTCAAGGGTCACCGGTAACACCGGCACTGCAGGGCAGATGGCCTACGGAGCAGGCACCTCTTAGCACCACGGACCGACCACATTTTCCCCCAGCGCTCGGCTTCCATCCTTTGGACTTCCGTTGACCTGCATGAGGCGCCAGATCGCAGGGCATCGCGGCAGGACTGGGGGATGGTGCCTTCCTTTTGGCATCCTGTTCGCTGCATACACCGTGTATCTAGCCTGGTCTTCGACTTCCCTGCTCGGCGGGACTCGGCTGAGCGGCAAGCCTCATGGTATAGTTGATGCATAAGCTTGGGGCCGGAGGTTGGGCTGTGCCCCGCCGGAGTGCATGATCAGTCGTGCCAGAGTGGTTGGCCTCGACCTCCTCCCCCGGCCAGGCCCACCCCATCCACCTACCTTCCTCACCATTCCGGCGCTCCCGCCCGGCACCCGCGCACCTCATGCTTCCCCGCCCTGAATCTCCCGATACCCTGCCCAGGAACGTCGCTGAGCGCAGTCCTTCCCCTCCCTGGTGCGAGAGGCCGAGGCGCAGGCTGCCGCAGCGGCCTGCCCCGAGCCTTGGGCCCTGGACCTCCCCGCGCCAGCCCCCGCCGCCCTCCCGCCCGACCTGTGCAGCAGCGGGTTCACCAGGGCCGCCACCCGCCTGGTCTCCCTGCTCCTGGATCAAGGGAGCTCCGGGCATGGCCTGGAGTGGGGCCTGGGTCCTGGCCTGCCTTTCTTCCTTCGGGGCAGGCTGCAGAGCCTGGTCAGCGTGGAGCGGGACGGCGCGGTGGCTGCCATAGCACAGCGCGTGCAGCGGGTGGGGATGTGGGAATGCTCTGGTGTGCGGGTAAAGGGGGGGGGGGCTGCAGACCAAGGCCTGACCCACCACCCCGAACGGAATCCTCCACCCACTGCCGGCTCTGGACCATTCCCCCAGAACCCCCCTCACTCGCCCTCCCGATAGCCCTGTCCTGCCTCTCCCCGTCGCAGCGGCATGCCACCCCCCTGACCAAGCGCTGGGAGGTGCAGTATGTGCCCCTGCCGGGGTCGAACGACACGGCCCACGCGACGGGCTGGCGCTACGTCAACTGCCCCGTGCCGCCCGACGCCGCGCTGCGCTTCATCTCCGTCGGGCGCAGCTCCCGCGCCGCCGTGCTGAAGCGCGCCGTCGGCATCCTCAGACCCGTGGTGCGCGGCGTGGGTGGGGCTTTGAGAGGCGCCCGGGGCGATGCCTGAAGACCCCTCCAAGGGCATTGCGCGGGACGTGGCCTTGGCGGCCGGCCGCCGGCCACTGGCAGGCCCCCTGTGCACCCTGCTCCCTGCGCATGGTGCTTTCCTCCCTCCCCTTCCCACCCTGGTCTCCTGCACCCGCCACAGGACGGGGTCCTGGTGCTGCCCGACGTCTCGCGGGAGGAGGCGCTGCAGGCTCGGAGCGTGGTGCCCCCGCACTGGCAGTGGCACCACAGCGGGGCGGCCGCGCGTGGGACGCTGGTCTTCCTTTCCTGCACCCCCGAGGCGTGCGGCTTGGAGCAGGTGTCGGGCGCGGGCTGGCTCGAGGGCGGGGCCGGCGACTGGGGTCGCACATGAGCCGTCGTTCTCCAGCCCGCCAGCCGAGACTTGTTGCATGCACGACCCCGGGCCCGCGGCAGGGGGGCGCAGCAGAGTGGCCGTGTCGTAGATCAGCAGAGGGAATGCAGGGGGGGAGATGGGGGACCACCCCTCCACTCGCGCACCCCCACCCCACCCCGCGCCGCTCGTGCAGGCAAGGTGGTCCTGGGATCCATCCCAGGGGTCCGACGATGGAGGCCCACCCGAGCACGAATGCAGCTCCTCCACCCTGTTGCGTACCTTCACCATCATCGCACCACCTTGCAAGCACAACCAGCCCCCCATTCTCCATGCATGACCGCCGTGTTTGCCATGCATAATCTTTTCTTGTCGACGCTTTTTTGTCGCTCTTGCATCAGTCGGGCACCATACCCTTTGCCCACCCCTCCATGCGATTTGAGCCCCTACTTCTTGTCACCAAAGTCAGAGGAGAAGGGGGAGGGCGACTCCAGCTTCTTTGCCTCGGCCAGCTTCCGCACCGCCTTCATGAAGTCCTCCTGGACCACGTAATCCCTCTCGTCCCTGCAGCGGTGAAGTGTGGGGCACTGGTCGCAGGCGCACGCTCGTCCCTGCAGCGGTGAAGTGTGGGGCACTGGTCGCAGGCGCACGTCGAGCGCGAGCCCGGCATGCGGAGGGGGGAAGGTGGCAGCGCAGCCAGGGCCCGAGCCCGGCATGCGAGGGGGGGAAGGTGGCAGCGCAGCCAGGGCCCGAGCATGCAGCGCGGCACTGGGCGGAGCAACGCACTCGTGACGGCCAGGGTTGTGCCGCGCATGGGTCAGGCCCTCGACCTCCACGACCATGCGATCGCTTCCCTTTCCTCCCCCTGTTCCCCCCGAGTCTGCCTTTCCCACGACTCCACCCCCCCCTTCCCCCTTCCCGCACCTGATGGCAAACATGCCGGCCTCGGTGCAGACGTTGCGCAGGTCCGCGCCGTTGAAGGCGTCGCCCAGCTTGACAACGGACTCGTAGTCGATCTCGCCGTGCTTGGTGATCTTGGAGGCGTGGATCTTCAGGATCTCGGTGCGCGCCTGCTCGTTGGGCAGCGGGATCTCAATCTTGCGGTCCAACCGCCCCGGCCGCATCAGCGCAGGGTCCAGGACGTCGGGGCGGTTGGTGGCTGCCACCAACTTGACCTTGCCCAGCGACTCGAAGCCGTCCAGCTGGGACAGCAGCTCCATGAGTGTGCGCTGCACCTCACGGTCCGCACTGGTGCCTGGCAAGGGGGGGTTCAATGGAGGGGGCCGGTCATTTGATGGGTTGATGCCACAGTCACACGACTGGGCCGTGGGTGAGGCCAGCGACCGGGAGAGGCGTGAAGGCCCAGGCCGAAATCCACACTGGCGGCCGTCAGGGGCGCAGCATCAACACTCGGGGGCCCTCCACCGCCCAACCCACCCACCCTCGCTGAAGCGCTTGCCACCGATGGCGTCGATCTCGTCCATGAAGATGATGCAGGGCTGGTGCTCCTTGGCGTACCTGTAAGCATTTGTGTGAGTGTGCAAAAACTGTGTATATATATGTGTGTGCGCTGAATGAGCAATGATGCGCAGAGGTGTTTCGGGGTGCTGGAGCCGAGGTGGAACCCCAGCCTCAAGCCGTTCAACGGCCTGGCTGCGCACCTCAATTTCAGAATTGCTCGCAACTGCACAGCCATCCCCACCTCTCCTCCCGAGGTCCTCACCCAAACATCTCGCGGATGACACGGGCAGACTCGCCAATGTACTTGTCCACCACCCCAGATGCCACCACCTTCAGGAAGTTGGCGTCTATGTTGGAAGCAATGGCCTTGGCCAGCAGCGTCTTGCCCGTGCCTGCACAGGCAAGACATGGAGGGATGGTCATGAAGAGGGTGTACGCCGCAAGGACCCTCTCCCCATGTCCCCCTCGATGAGGCACACACGGTGTTAGGCAGGGGCCCGGCTGAATACCATGCCGGCTTGCAGAAAAGGACATGCTGCTGCGCCTTGCAGGCCTGTGCCTACCTGGGGGACCATACAGCAAGACTCCAGTGGGGGGCTTGATCCCCACTCTCATAAATATCTCGGGATTGATCAGGGGGAGCTCTATGGCTTCCCGCAGCTCCCTGTTTGCATGGACGAGGGAGGAATGGCTTGTCAAGGATAGCCCTCTTGTTCCAGCAAGGTCCCCATGCTTCGCCAGTGAGGCCCCTGCCCTCAGCTTGTGCTCCCACAAACATGGTACTAACCACTACAAATCCGAGCAGGGATGCCTCTCACATGGAAAGCCCCCTTGCTCCTCCCACCTGATCTGCTCAGACAGGCCGCCGATGGAGGAGTAGTCCACCTGACCAGGGTCCTCTGTGGTCATGTTGTGCACCATAGGGTCTACCTGCAGTGCTCAGGGGAGAGGGGTTATATGATGGACATGCATCATGTGAGCAGGGGCAGTCCCTGCATCCCCGTCCACCAGCCGGACCCATGGCCCTGCCGACCCCCATACCTCTCGCGGCAGGATGCGCATGATGGTCAGGGTGGTAACATCCAGGGCGACACGCGTGTTGGGCAACAGCTTGGCGCGGTCTACCTTGGTCCTGCAGCCGACCACATACCGTGGGCCGCTGCTGGCCTTGACAATGACTGTGTGTGTTAAGGGAAGGGAAGCGGTGAGAGGGGGGAGGTATCACATCAGAGTCAGACCGAGATGCATGCGGAGGGAGGCAGCATGGCCAGGCAGGTGGTGTCAGGACAGGGGAGAGGGTTCTGGAGGAGTTGCAAGTTAGCGGACTTGCAGCCAGGCAGGTGGCAGGCCGCTCTCCAGCCCCTCAACACACCCCTGCTCACATCTCTCCGGGTCCAGCTGCCTCAGCACCTCTCCGATGATCTGGCCCACACTCTGCAGGGCCTTCAGATCGTCCTCCGTCTTGTCATACTCCTGCCGGGACTTGCGGACCTGCTCCCGCAGGGTCCTCACCCGTGCATCCAGCTCCCGGTGCTGCAACAGCTTGTTCCGGTACTCTGAGATGGCCGCATCCCTCGGATCGGAGGCGGAACTCGCCATCCCTGCCCACGCCCCGTGAGGCTAACCTCCCTGTGATCGGTTCCAGCGGCAGTGATCCCTGACGAGCGCTCAGCCCCTGGGGTACGTTCCTGGTCCCGCAGTCAATCAGAGATGAATATGCTTGTCGCGATGACATGCACGGGGCCCGAGCTTCCAGGTCCAACTCTGCGATTCCCCCAAGACGGAAGGCGCCCAACCCGGCCGTGCCCCTCACGCTGCGCAGTGTGGCGTGGCCCATCTGGGGCAGATTCTGTTCACACACCTTCCCCACCAGCGCATTATCAACCGACCATCAGACAATACGCTCCAGCTCCTTGGCATACAACATGCAGTTTGAGATGATGTCCTGGGAGACGGGGGCAGGCAGCCCCCCCCCCTCGTCTGGGCCCGCAAACTCCACGCGGCCCGAGGTCAGCCTCCAGCCATGGCCTTGTGCCAGCTCTTCAAGCTGTGCCTCGCTTTCCAGCCTGAACAGCTTGAGGGCCTCGGCCGAGTTCAGGGAGGCATACGAGCGCTCGCAGCAAGCCGCCACCTCCTCCCTGATGTGATTGTCGAGGGTGGGGGGTTGTCGGTGGTGCGCGCGGGAGGGGGTGGAGAGCTGGACAGTGCCTTGGAATCACAGATAAGGCGAGTCTCATCGAAGACACAGTCTCGAGCGCCCCTGACTCCCCCATTTTCAAACCATGCAGAGGATAAGCCCACCGCCTTAGGACCCTGCACACCCCGTCTTGCCACCCCAGCCCACCAACCTGACGGTGTCGGTGAGGCGCTGGAGGAAGATGGCAGTGTAGGGCGAGGTGGAAAGGGCGTCCTGCGCCTCCAGCACCCGGTTGTAGGCCCCCTCCATCAGCCACGCCTCCACCTCCATGATCTTGGTCGACCTCGTGGGAAGCCTTGATCTGGGGCGGCGCAGGACGGCGGGGATTGGGTGCAGGCACAGTCGCCATGCGGGGTCACACAGCGCTCTGAGGCTTCGGCCCTCGCTGTGAGTAGCCCGGCAAGGAGCACCGATTTTCCCAGCATGCCTGGGTGCGCCATGGCAGCGTCCACCCGACTGTCCCTCCCACCACGGACCTCATCCGAGAGGAGCTCCAGCTCGGCGTGGAACTCCGCCACTGCCGCCTGTGAGAGCAGGCGCAGCAGGTTCAGGGCGGTGAGGAAGGCCTGGCGTGGAGAGGGGGTCAGGCTCCTGGACAGGTCGCCTGGGATGTAGTACGGCGCCAGCTGGCTCCAGCTGCGCTGGAAGACGACCAAGTCGGAGCGCAGGGTCCCGAGCAGCACCGCCTGCTCATACACGCCCCCTGCGGCGGTGGGGAGGGGCCCAAGTTGGCGAGGAGCGGTGCCTGGTGGGTGAGCAGGGCGTCAGTGTCCGCCGCCACACGGCAGCCTCTGGCACTTTGAGGGAGAACGAGGTCTCACGTGCAAGAAGGAGCTCGTCGGTCGTGGTGGGGCTGGGCTGGGAGTTGGCTGCCAGGGCGGGTAAGGAGATGAGGTCCAGCTGCAGGGAGTCACAGGACGCGAGGACAGAGGGGATGGGGGAAAGGTGAACGGGGCGATATCAGCGTGAGACACGGCATCGCGCGACCACAATCGATGCAAGTGATAACTACGCATTCCTGCCTTGAGTTTCGAGAGCAGCTTGTTGGCCTGGTCCACGCTCCCGCTCTGCACAGCGCTCTGCAGAGCCAGATAGGCGGGGCGGGGAAGCTCTGTGAGTCACGCTCAATAGCTTCTATCCTCATGCTTGAATACCATTCTATGACCAACCACACACCTCGAGCTGCTGCAGATTCCTCTGTGCAGACGCAAGGTCCGACATCCTAGCCCTGAGATCACTCGAGTGGAGCACTCCCCGCGGCGCCTGCCTCAACAGGATATCGCTTGGATGTTCGTGTGTGGTAGCTGATTTGTGCTTGCTTATTTCAGGAGATGCAACTAGCACACTCCGGGAGAATGGTCACCTTTTGAGCAGGGCGCATTACCCCCGTGCAATGTTCAGATCGGCACTTCCCTGGTAGGATCTGGCCCCCAACTCGGGAAGTGTACGCCAATTTCCAAGGCATTCAGTGCTTGTCTGCTTCCCGATAGGAATGCATAGTAAAGGCATGTAGCATTTTATTCACCTGGACTGCAGGTCTCAGAATATCCTCCACCCACCTTGGTGTACACTGACCGGAAAGCTCGTGATCGCCACCCTTGACATCCATGACGTTCAATAAGATGTCTCCAGAGCGCAAGCTGTGAGTTATACGACATACTGCGCCGGACATGGGCTCCTATTCGTTGCAAGATCATTGCTGAGCCCGTTTGGCGCATTATCTGAAGAGGAGGGAGCTAAGTTATCGAGTTGGCTCCTGCACAGGATTGCTCAACCAGCTTTACATCATTCAACAGGACACTGAGGAGTCTCTCAGCTCATTGAGCTCGGTAGACCACCCTGAGCTGCACTCTGGGCTGCCTGGGTTCACTGGTCTAAAGTGTGCTCCTCGCCAGCGAGTCCTGCGCCTGGGGCCAGCCTCCTCCAGCACCCTGATTGGCTGCGCCCCCAAAGGCCTACCATGATGGGTCTGTGGGCAAGCTACGACCGGCTCTTGGTCCGGCTGTCGCGCCAGACCTGGGTCAGGGCTGCCGCAGAGTGGCTGGAGGGCCACCAGAGCGTGGCGTCCATCGGGATCGCGGTCGCCCACACCCTGTTGGTTGTGGCCCTCGCCGGGCCCCTCCCCTCCTGCCTCCTGGGTAATGCGCTTTCTCGGTGGCGGCGGGCCCTGGGCAATTCATCCTGTCAGCGCTCTGGCTGAGATGGGCTGTAGTACTGACTGTGGGGTTGCAGAGCCTTGTCCCATCCTTGCCACAGCTGGGCTGAGTTCCATCCTGACATTGTCCATTTCCCCTTCACCCCTCCGCCCAGCCCTGACATGCCAGACGCTGCTCCTACTCTTCCTGCCCTACAACAGCTACCTTGCGGCTTCCCTCGGCACAGCCCTGACCTCAAGGTATGTCGATGCTGCGCGCCGCATCGATGTACTCCACCAACCCTGCAGGACACATTCAAACACAGGTCCACTGCCTGCCCTGTCTCAGCACATGCTTCACAGGCCACTGATCAAACCTCCAGCAGCTTCTACAGCCCTCATCCCCTCCCATCATCCCCCCCCCGGCGCTGCCATCCAGGCTGGTCACGGTCTCGGGCCTCCAGCTGGCACGCTTTCTTGTGCTGCGCATGCTGTGGACCCCCGCATGGTGGACCCACCTTCCCCCGGTGCTAGGTCTGCTGGCGTATGCCAGGAAAGCGCCGCCTGAGACTCAGCTCCGGACGGCCAGGCTCGCGGCAGTCCCTCTGCTCCTGTGCGTACTTTCTTTGTGGGAGAGAGGGGGATGTGAGGGGTGGGAAATGAGTTACGGCGCGGAATGAAAACGCAGGGACAGGCCTGGGCCTGCCCCTTGCCATCCCTTCATGCCGGGGACATGATCGCACGTGCCCGATCCCCGCTCATCACCAAGAGCAGGCAGGGGCGGGGTCCTCCCTGCAGGCCGCATCCCTGCATGTTTGCTGTCCTGGAGCGCACCAGTTCGCTGCATGGCACGCCTCCTGGGCCTCTGGTGGCCCACCGCTGGCACCAACCCCGGGCCCTCCCTCCCTTGCCTGCCGCCCACTCATCGCAGGTGGGCGGCCCGCGGCGGCGCCTGGGGCGCGGTCACCGCGGCGGCCTTCCTCACGCAGTGCTCCCACGCCGGCGAGCGGACCGGCGCGGCGACGGCCGGAGCTCTCCTGGCCCTCAGGTCTGAAGGGGCGTGGCACGGTCCTCTCCCACCGTCGGGTTGCTCCGCCTCCCTCCTTGCGTGACCAGGGGCGCTGGGCGCGCAGGCTTCACGGCCTGGCCATGCCCCCGCTCCCCACCACCGGAATGTTCCTGCCCGCCGCAGGTTTGTCTCCTGGGCCGTCCCCCTCGCCCTCTTCGCAGCCCTCTCCCTGGCCGTCATCCCCCTGACCCTCCTGTGGCGTTTCGCGGCGCGGCGGCTGCGGCGGCGCGGCGGCACGCGGCCCGGCCCGGGCCCTGGCGCCCCGGACCCCGGCGCCCCGGCCCCTCATGCGCTGCCGGCCCACCTGCCGGCGCTGGCGGTGCCGCCCAGCACGCCCCCCGCCGTGGTCGCCGTCCTGCGCTCCGGCAACTATTACGAGGTGTTGCAGCTGCCCCGCGGCGCGGGGGAGGCGGACGTGCGCCGCGCCAAGCGCGCCGCCGCGCTAACCACGCACCCCGACAAGGCCGGCGGCGGCGAGGCGGCCGAGGCCGCCTTCCGCCTGGTGGCGGAGGCCGCCGACACGCTGCTGGACCCGGCGCGGCGCCGCGACTACGACGCCGAGCTGGAGCTGCTGGCCTCCCCCGGCCTGGCCGACGACCTTGCCGCGGCGGCGGGGTTCGCGGACGCCGCCGACATGGCCGCCGCGGCCGCCGCGGGCGCGCGGCTGCAGGCCTGCGCCGCCTGCGGCGGCGCGCACGTGCTGCGCCCGCTGGAGCCGGCCCGGAGCCCGGCCGCGGCGCGGCGCTGCGACGAGTGCGGGCGCGGCGCGGCGCACGCAGTGCGCGAGGGCGAGGTCTGGCTGGAGCGGCGGTACAACCGCTGGTCGCCCGACACGCTGTGCATGCTGTGCTGCCTGGAGGGGCGGGTGTGGGACATGTCGGAGAGCGCGCACTGCGAGGGCCTGTTTGAGGCGGACCTCCTCCGAGACTTCCCCTTCAATGCCCATGACAACCCCTTTGCCAGGTGGGAGGGAGTGGGGGAAAGGGGCCCCTGGTGGGGGGGGTGGTCGGGTGGGGGGGGACACACCCAGGGTCTGGAACGGGGCATGCGCCAGGTCCGGCCCCGGGCGACAGAGGAATGGGTTGGGCCCGCTCCCCATGCAAGCCGGCCTGTCTCCGTCGCCCGACCTGTGCACCGTGTCCGCCCCTCCCCACTCCCTCGACCCACCCACGCCCGCACACTCTTGGCCAGGTTGGGGAGGGGCAGCTCCGCCTCGGCAAAGCCCAGGGCGGGCAAGCGCGGTGGGCGGGCGAGGAAAAAGGGCTCTGGGAAGTGAGAGGCGCCCATGTCCAGGACGATTGTTGTCGATACCGCGATTCGGATGGTGTCGTCGCTCTGGAAATTTTGCGCTTTCAATTCCCCTTGGAGAGCCAGCTCAGGATTCTTCGATTGTATCCCCGGGCTTGCACCCATCAGGTTCAACCATGGGCCGGCCTTGCAATGGGCCACAGGTGGAGAGAACCGTGATGAGATTGACACAATGCTTGAGAGGGATATGAGCAGCGTTTCTATGAGTAGAACAGAAAGTTAGGAGTAACGTACTGTTGGCCAACGGCGAGTGGCTTCAGCCTGGAGGAAAGTCCTTGAGAAGCAATGAGTGGTCTTGATGGCAACCACCTGGCCCCAAAACATGCTCGCTGCATTAGTCACATAATGGGATGGGAGATGAGAACCCGGACGACAGCCAAAACATTCGTGCGACAATCGGACATCGCGAACGACTTCGGCGTTTTCCTAGGTTTTCTGCCACCGCCCCTTCTTCTCAGGCAGCACTTCGCCAATGGGAACGGCAACCAAGGGCAGGACTGGGGCCGGCGTCTCGAGCCGCTCAGGTGATGGATATCTCTCACAGCACGGCGCGCAATAGGTGTGCCCCTCTTCCTGGCGGACCCAGCGGCTCGGTACTGGCCAAAGCCTTGCGATACACCCTCCATGGGGTGATCTACAGAAATGTCCCACTTAAAAAGATTCATGTTGTATCTGTACGACGTATTCTGTTCACGATGTGGTTGAGGGTTGTGGGGAAACAGTCAGTAGCTTTTAGCGTCACACAGCGGCCCCGATTCTTCCATGTGCCGGCCTTGGTGACGAGCGAGTCATCAGTGTGGGAGGGCCACTCCAGACATCCTCAGGCTTCCTCTCCGTCACTCACAAAGACTGGCTCGGGACCCCTCACCATGTTCATACAGCACACCGTCTGTATAACATTGCCATCAACAAGCATTGTGGGTAACAGGCAAGTCCACGCAAAATGTGCATCGGAGTCTTGTTCACGGTCAAGCACAAACACGTGCAGGCAAGCAGGGGTCACTCGGCCAACAGCTTCCTCCCCTGAAGCGGGGTGGGGTGCGGTAGAATGATGCCACGGTCCTTGAGCGTCTGGGCGTGGTCACACAGTTTCTTCACCACAATCTCTCCGAGCTGCGACTTGGTCTCCCCCGGGGCCGGCAGCCAGTACTGCTTGTAGGCCTCCCGCGCCAGTGCCGCCTGCTTGGCGGCCAGGACCTTGGGCGGCAGCGCGCGCAGCACGTCCACCACCTCGTCCAGGGTGTCGACATGCAGCATTTGTCCGGGCGGTAGGTCGGTGTCCAGGTACCAGGCCGTCAGCACGCTGGGGTGATTGTCGGACCTGGCCAGCGAGGTGTTGGCCACCACCCAGGTCACGTGGCGCACGGAGATGAAAACGCTGGAAGCGGCGTGGTCGATTTCGTCGGCCAGGACCAAGGTGTGCCAGGGCGGCCCCACAATCACCGGGATGCAGCCGGAGAGGGCCGCCTCGGTGCCGCGCCGGCTGGCTTGTCGGTCACCCGGCAGTGCGAGGCAGTAGCGGGAGGCGCGCATGCGCGCCAGCACCTCCGAGTGGGGCAGGGCCTTGGGGCAGATGTCGCAGCCGCACTGCACGTCCACATCGGTGGCATTGGACGCCTGGATCGCGTCCACCACAGCGCGACGCAGCAGCTTCCTGGTGGCAGCGGTGGGGATTGGGTGTAGGGAGAGGGGGAGCGGGGGAACTGCCAAGCTATTCATGACAGGGCCCACTGGGCGTGCAGTCTCCCCCCCGCAGAGCAGGGCGAGGCCGGGTGGGTGTCCCTGCCTGCGCCCTGTCGGCCAGTGCAGCAGGGCTCACCCGGATGAATAGAGTGGGCCGGAAGGGTCGGAGGAGGAGGAAGGGGAACACCCGCCCCGATAGAAGAGTAGTGTGTCGCGGGTGGCAGCGAGGGGTTCGAACCCCTCCTGGTGGGTGTCTGCGAGGGGTGGCGAGGCCAGGGGGTGCGCGGACTGGGAGGCAGGGCACACCACAACGGGTCCAGGAGCGTGACCCGTCTCCCAGGAAGCCAGCAGCTGCGTGTCGAGAAGCCATGCAACACCTCCAGCTCAGTTGCAGGGCGCGCGGGCCTGACTACCCCACACACCCCAGCCATGGCTGCAGCCAAGCATCACTCCTGCACACCCGTCACGTAGGGCAGGATCAGCCCCTGTTGGGCATGCGCCTCGAGCTTCTGCTCGCACAGCATGGTGTGCTCAGAGGTGATGATGAAGGGGGACGAGCTGCATGGGGTTGGGAGGGAGGGGGAGCGGGGGTCGAAGGGCCTATGGAGGGCTTATCAGATGGGTGGTGGGTGGATCCCAGGCATGTTCATGCAATCTGCTGAGCGGCAGATCTTGGCGTGGTAAAAAAAGGGAAGGATTTGCGGGAGGGTGGGAGGCGGTGGGCACGGTGGGCAGGGCCTGCGCCTGTGTTTCTCTTTGAAGCTGGTGGTCTCGCGCAAGGGAGCCACAGGCCCCAGCTTCGTACCACAAGACTTGAGACCCACTGGCGCACGGGGGCCCTGTGCGCACGAGGGGTTTTGGCCCTCTCGATTGAAAAGACCACAGACACATGTATTGACAAGCCTCTGCACCTCACCCACCTGCAAGGCCTCTGCGCATCCAGGGTCTTCTCGGGAAGCGCCGGGTTGAAGGGCGCCACCACAAACCTGGAGCCGTTGCTCTGCCTCCACTGGGGCCAGGACCTGAGGAACTCCATCGCCTGCACTCTATAGAGCTCCGGATCGACTCCGTTCTTCACGCCTTCCTTATAAGTCTGCCACCACTTACCCGCCCTCCAAGTCTCATAGCAATGCATGTTGACGAATATCTGGGATGGAGGGGGCATGGCGAGGGATAAAGGGTGGGGTGAGCGCCTTGCTCGATGAGAGGGCTTTGGGGAAGGAGACGAGACATTCCTGGAAGCTTAAGCTGGCGATACTGATAGAATGATAGTGCTCCTTTACACCCTGAACATATCCTGTGCACCTGGATCGCCCTGCACCTGATCCCAGTCCCTCCTCCACACCCACCCACCAGATCCGCCCGGGACAGCCTGTCGGTCCGGGCCCCATTGTCGATGACAGCCTCTTCCAGCCAGAGATGGACTGCGTACTGGTACTCCCAATGTTGGAGGGGCACGGTGCTCCCCCCGAGACCGGTTTTCTTAAGGGCATGCGGCCAGATGGCGGTGTCCGCATAGTTGCAAGCAGGCATTCCCAGGTCGCGTGCAGGGTCCAGGACGTAGATGGAGCATGATGCCGACTCCACGACTTGACTAGAGCTAAGGATCACGGATCCCGAGGAGAGCGAGAGGTATTGCTTCGGCCAGATCTTCTGATTCGTCAAGGTCGCGAGAGAGAAAAGGACTAACCCTACGCGGAAGGGGGGCGGAGCTAAGGCGTTGCGCCTTGTGGCAGCAGGATCTTGATTCATCTGTCGATATGCATCAAGCTCTGCCAACATTTACCTGCCACAACTAGTAAGATCTGGAGTATGGGCCGCATCTGGTGTGCTCGAATGGGGTACGGGGATTCTTATAGGTGGTCAGCGTCGAGGGCTGGCATGGCTTCTTTTAATAGGATTACCCCCTCATAAGTTTGAAAGCTGAAAAATATTGCTTGCGTGGATATGTTGTGGCAACACTTTATCGTGGGACAGAAGCAGTTGGGAAGGACATTCCGCGGTACAATGTTTGCCCCCTCGGTCCGTTTAAAAACTGTCATGCACCGTGGAACGGGAGCGGGGGTACCGCTCCCGAGATCTTGGTGAGGTAGCGCTTGTTCGAGTCCCACTTCAAGTCTCGAGGGGTCCCGAGGGGCCATACTCCGTCAGAGGAGCACTGTGACCCACAGACTATCCAGAAAAATGACAGTTACAGCGACACTCCAACGCGGAAGGGGGGCGGAGCTAAGGCGTTGCGCCTTGTGGCAGCAGGATCTTGATTCATCTGTCGATATGCATCAAGCTCTGCCAACATTTACCTGCCACAACTAGTAAGATCTGGAGTATGGGCCGCATCTGGTGTGCTCGAATGGGGTACGGGGATTCTTATAGGTGGTCAGCGTCGAGGGCTGGCATGGCTTCTTTTAATAGGATTACCCCCTCATAAGTTTGAAAGCTGAAAAATATTGCTTGCGTGGATATGTTGTGGCAACACTTTATCGTGGGACAGAAGCAGTTGGGAAGGACATTCCGCGGTACAATGTTTGCCCCCTCGGTCCGTTTAAAAACTGTCATGCACCGTGGAACGGGAGCGGGGGTACCGCTCCCGAGATCTTGGTGAGGTAGCGCTTGTTCGAGTCCCACTTCAAGTCTCGAGGGGTCCCGAGGGGCCATACTCCGTCAGAGGAGCACTGTGACCCACAGACTATCCAGAAAAATGACAGTTACAGCGACACTCCAAGGTGGCTTATCTCAGATCCGCTAGGGTTTGAAGATCCAGCGCGGAGACTAGGTCAAGGAGAGTATGCTGTTCATGAAGTGATCCTCCCGTTGCATACAGCAGGACCGAGAAACCTCGGGGGCCCCCCATCTGAGGGCAAGACCGGCGATGCCCCTCCGGATACCCGGCAGAGGGCCACTCGGCAGCTGCTCAAGATCTCCCTGCAACCCTGAGGATCAGGAAAAGCGAGCTTTGCTTTGGATTACTCAGTAGTTGCTGTTACAGCTCACGAGCCAGTTGCAGCGTTGAGGGGTACACTGGGTTGGTGGCGGACCTCATCCTGACAGTCCTCGTCCAAGCAGGCGGAAGGGGGAGAATGCCGCAAGGAGTAGGATGCCAATAGCATTCAGGAACACTGCCGTCCTGACTGGACTCTTGTTGCTACTCGCCAGATGCGCCTTCGCGGTAAAATCAAGCGCGTTGGTGAAGTTGAGGCTGAAGCGTCCAATGTGCAACCCCGGCTTTAATAACATCCCGGCTTCCTCGCGCTACGCAGGCCACGTGCAGCTCCACTTTTGTCGCGCTGCCCAGTGCAATGTGAGCTTTGTGTTAAAGCATCGGGGGGTCATGAGTGCGACACTGACGATGTCCTTGTCCAAAGGGACCCCTCGGCCCCACCTCCGGCTGGGTTCCGATGCCCTTGTCGGCTTCCTGGAGCCCTGCCCAATCTGATCTCCCGATCATGCACATGCAAACCGCACTCGAGCCCATTTCAGGTACTGCACCCCGATATGCCTCCCATCATTCCGCGCACCTTTGAATCCCCACAGTCTAGGAGCCCATGTGTTCCTCACGACAGTTGACAGTGCAGATGCCATTTGCAGGTGAGTCACCAATGATGAGTGCGTGTCACAGAGCATCTGCTTGCACATCACTGGACCGACCCAAGAAATATCAACAGGGCGTTTCATTTGACGTACACCAAATTTTGCACACCTGAGCCTATGCGCGTCCACTACCCACTGCAAGCAGGCATGAAGGCTTCAGCAAGGCGGGGTCCATCCGCACCTCCACCCTTGATGCCATGGGGCTGTCCATGGCAGCCATCCGTGTGAGCACCTTGGAGATCCTGGAGTCTCGCTCCACGAAGATTCTCTTGGCCGTGGAGTGCCTCAAGATGGGCCAGAAGGCATGCACGGCCGACAGCAATGGAATTTTTGGCCCTGGCAATAGGGGCAAGAACAACTTTGGCACGAAGAACGTTGGGAATGATAATGTCGGTGAGCTCTGAGTGGAGTCTTGATGGCATGCAAGATGTGCACAGCCCCTGCAACCGTCGGGTGAAACAGACTCATTGATATGACGGTGCTCCCTTTGCAGGCAACTCCAATGTGGGCACTGCCAACTGGGGGAACAATAACGATGGTGCAGGCAATCGCTGCTTTGACAAGGCAGGAAATCACAAGGTCCTCAATGACTGCAGCCTGCTCGAATTCCGGAAGCATGCATGGGTACTTGTCTTCCCGCTGCCGCCCACCAGGTAATCGCCACCTCCACCCGCCAAGAGGTCACCACCCCCACCTGCCAAGAGTTCACCACCCCCACCTGCCAAGAGATCACCACCCCCACCTGCCAAGAAGCCTCCGCCACCACCCACCCGGAAGTCGCCACCGCCTCCTGCCAAGAGGTCTCCTCCCCCACCCGCCAAGGTGTTACCGTCCCCCCCCGCCAAGAGGTCCCCCCCCCCCCCCGCCAAGGTGTCACCGCCCCCCCCCGCCAAGGTGTCACCGCCCCCCCCCGCCAAGGTGTCACCGCCCCCCCCCGCCAAGGTGTCACCGCCCCCCCCCGCCAAGGTGTCACCGCCCCCCCCCGCCAAGGTGTCACCGCCCCCCCCCGCCAAGGTGTCACCGCCCCCCCCCGCCAAGGTGTCACCGCCCCCCCCCGCCAAGGTGTCACCGCCCCCCCCCGCCAAGGTGTCACCGCCCCCCCCCGCCAAGGTGTCACCGCCCCCCCCCGCCAAGGTGTCACCGCCCCCCCCCGCCAAGGTGTCACCGCCCCCCCCCGCCAAGGTGTCACCGCCCCCCCCCGCCAAGGTGTCACCGCCCCCCCCCGCCAAGGTGTCACCGCCCCCCCCCGCCAAGGTGTCACCGCCCCCCCCCGCCAAGGTGTCACCGCCCCCCCCCGCCAAGGTGTCACCGCCCCCCCCCGCCAAGGTGTCACCGCCCCCCCCCGCCAAGGTGTCACCGCCCCCCCCCGCCAAGGTGTCACCGCCCCCCCCCGCCAAGGTGTCACCGCCCCCCCCCGCCAAGGTGTCACCGCCCCCCCCCGCCAAGGTGTCACCGCCCCCCCCCGCCAAGGTGTCACCGCCCCCCCCCGCCAAGGTGTCACCGCCCCCCCCCGCCAAGGTGTCACCGCCCCCCCCCGCCAAGGTGTCACCGCCCCCCCCCGCCAAGGTGTCACCGCCCCCCCCCGCCAAGGTGTCACCGCCCCCCCCCGCCAAGGTGTCACCGCCCCCCCCCGCCAAGGTGTCACCGCCCCCCCCCGCCAAGGTGTCACCGCCCCCCCCCGCCAAGGTGTCACCGCCCCCCCCCGCCAAGGTGTCACCGCCCCCCCCCGCCAAGGTGTCACCGCCCCCCCCCGCCAAGGTGTCACCGCCCCCCCCCGCCAAGGTGTCACCGCCCCCCCCCGCCAAGGTGTCACCGCCCCCCCCCGCCAAGGTGTCACCGCCCCCCCCCGCCAAGGTGTCACCGCCCCCCCCCGCCAAGGTGTCACCGCCCCCCCCCGCCAAGGTGTCACCGCCCCCCCCCGCCAAGGTGTCACCGCCCCCCCCCGCCAAGGTGTCACCGCCCCCCCCCGCCAAGGTGTCACCGCCCCCCCCCGCCAAGGTGTCACCGCCCCCCCCCGCCAAGGTGTCACCGCCCCCCCCCGCCAAGGTGTCACCGCCCCCCCCCGCCAAGGTGTCACCGCCCCCACCCGCCAAGGTGTTACCGTCCCCCCCCGCCAAGAGGCCCCCCCCCCCCCCTGCCAAATCATCTCCGCCGGCCCCAGTCAAAATATCTCCGCCGGCACCCCTAGATTCACCTCCCCACACACCAAAAACATCCCCAACCCCCTCCCTCAAGATTTAGCCCTCCTCCGTCACCATCTTTACCTCCACCCAGTCCTCCTCCATCACCACCACCACCTCCGGCCCCCCCCCTCTATCACCACCTCCACCTCGTCCTCCATCACGACCTCCACCATCTCCACCCAGCCCCTTCCCTCCCCCTAAACCCCCACCTTCACCCAGCCCACCACCTTCACCGCCTCTACCACCCCCCTCTCCCCCACCCCCACCACCAGGGCAACTGCCACAGTTGAGTTCAGTGCTCCAAAGGATGGTCAGGTGGACATTACCTTTATCGCCACCACAGTGGGGTATACCTCCTCTTATGTGAGACTCCGCGTCTACTCGTCCAACCTCTCCCTTCTTGCCGGAGGTATCATCAACAGTCCTACTTCTACTGTCACCTCTGCTACCCTTCTTGGCGAGAAACTGGACATAGCAGCAGCATATTCCTTGGTACAGCAGTGATCTTTTCAGGTGACAGTATTATAAAAGAAGCTGTACTGCTGAGTTTGCTGAATTCCGCGCCCCCTCCTGTTGGACCAGCCCCGCCTCCCCCACCCTATGGGTCCATCGCTGGAAGTATCACTCAGGACGGAAACGATTTCTCATTCTCCTTGAATTTCGGGGCCTACCAACCAGACGGCGTAAACTATGCCTTCTTCACTGCAGCTGGCGGCCTGATCGGCGTTGGCTCTGAGGACTACAGTAGCACTCCCATGACTTGGACAACAACGCTGCTCGAAAGCCAGACAGCTCTCGCCACCTACGCTCCGGTTGTGGCGTACAAGACCGGGAGCGGGACCGCAAATGCCCTGACCCTGACCTGATAGTGTCATTGGGTCGCTGGACCACACCTGGGTTGCTCATCCTGGCCCCGCATATTGTGATCCTACGGCATCACGACACTTGAAATGTGTGAGCGTCAGATTGCGCCAAGCGATGCAAAAGAGTGGTTATGCAGTTGGAAGACAGAGCCTTGTAACCATGCTCCTCCTTGTTGGTCCAATGCATTCGCTCATGTAGTGATGCCTGGGCACGGAGCCAGCTGTGCCTGCATGTCACCCCAGCTCCTGAGCCAGGTCTGTCAGGCACTCCTAATCAACGACGCAAACATCTAGGTGGCGAACGATGAAGTTGGTCACGCTCTGTACTCTGTGCAAGGCAATGAGCAATCCGGGGGCGTAGAGAAATCATGGCGATGGATGTTACGACCCTGCCTTGAAAATTCATTCTTTCTTAGTCCACCAGGACCTGGAGAATGAGCGATGGACCTTTTCGAGACATGGCGCAGAGAAGCGTAGCTGCACTGGACCCACCGTTCGGAAAGCACCTATTTGTAGATGATAAGAATTTTTCAGATCTTATGCGCCCAAGTAGTGGATCGCAGGTTTAGGTAGGCCGGGTGGGCCCGGTGGGACTGGACAGCCAAGCTCATGGCGATGGTCTCCCCGATGGCATCATCGCTCCTCCAACTGAATTGCATCGATCTTATCAATGTGAACTCCGCGGTTCAAATCGCTGATACAATCTGCACATGCAGCGGGTGCCCTGCCCCCAGCACCCGAACCAGCATGGGGCTCCGGGCCTGCGTGCTCCTTGCCATCGTGACGGCCCTGCTGGCACGCAGTCATGCCGCCAGGGTCCTCGCCGATGGCTTCTTCGAGCACAAGACCCAGGCCGCAACTGGGCAGACAACAGGCACATGGTGGGTTCATGCTCGGGCAATCTGGTCTGTCGCTGCCGGCTGGCAGGGGCGGGCACCTTGCCTCCTTGGTGGCCTGTGGCAACCCCTCCCCCTCTGCGACCTGCCGCCAGGGGTGGGCGATGCAGAGGGTTTCACATGGCCTCTGCCCATGCCACAGTGCTCAGCATGGCGTGGACCCTTCCCCACAGGGCGGTCCTGTTCTACGAGTCGCTGCCCGAGGAGCCGGCTGCGCTGGGCGAGTTTGAGGCCCTGACGCAGCCCGCCCTTGAGCACCAGATTTTCCTGGCACGGGTGAGATCCTGCGCCGGGGGAGGGGCCCTTGCAGGCCAGCGAGGCGGCAGGCTTCCCCGGCCCCGCTCACACGGGGCACATGGCCAAGGGGTGCGGCCAGGCTGGGTCCGGGAGAAGGGGCCCTCACCCAGAGTCGGGTCCCTGCATACTAGCCAGACCACCTGACGTCTTGCACGCACGCGCCCCTACTCCCCGCACCCAGTGCCCCTCTGGAGCCTCCCCTCCCCCTCCCTTCCGGCCCTCTGCAGGTGGACATCTCCACCAATCCCCAGCTGCGCCACAGGTTCAGGGCGGTGGGTTCCCCAGCGGTGGTCCTGTTCCGGCACCAGAAGGCAAGAGTGTGGGGGACCCTGGGGACGTGGGCGGGCGTTTGAATGTGGCGTGCGTGCATTGGCCTGCAGCGCAAGGGGCTCAAGCAGGCACCGACCCCTTGGCAAAGGGACCGCGCCTCGCCCGCTGCACCCGCCCTTTTTCCCCCTTTCCCCCGCTCGTCTGTGCTCGGAATCCTACCTCCCCTCCGCCCCCCTCCTGCCCCATCACACACAAAAAACATGCGCAGATGTATAGGTACGAAGGGACTCTGAGCCGGGACTCCTTCCTGCATTGGGCCACGGAAGCCTACGAAGCATCACCCGGAGCCAAGGTGCCCCAGCCGCCGCCTGCATTCAGGCTGCTGATGGAGCCCCTGTACAGCTACGTGGATGGCAGGGTGCGCACCCCCAGGGATGTCGTTTGCCTTTTCCGCAGTCAGGGTGCCAGGTCTGAATGGCAGGATCGCGGGAGGATGAGGGGCACAACCTGCATTCAACCTACAGCCCTGGTGAGGGGGTGGCCGGTGAGCAGCCTCAGGCAGAGGGCACCAACTGCAACCCACCCTGCCCTGCGTAGGTGGGCGCAGCGGTGGGAGTGCTCGTGGGGGCCGCGATCCTAGTCACTCTACTGGCGGCGAGGCACGAACGGGATCGCAAACGCAAGCCGAGGTGGAAGCAGCACTGAACTGAGCCCGGGCGAGGCACGCATGGGCTCTGCAGCCGCCCGACGCGTGCGGCGACTCCGCAGCCCTCATCCCCTTCCCGGAGATGCAAGGCTGTCCTTACAATGCTAACCCTGAGGCTTGCTCGTCAATGAGGAAGAAGTAAGAGGTGTGCTGCTTTGAAGCGACCCAGTGGCCCCTGGTGGGCGTGTGGGGGCCGGCAGCCAGTCAGCCACACTGGTATGCACCGAGCGTTGAACCCTGGCACCTCGGCGTGGTCATTTACCCACCGTCGCGACTAGAGCTGGCAGGTGCAACCCTTTGGAGTGCGTTGAGGGCGTCGCGTTGAAAGACTGGAGCGCGATGTTCTTTGCTCATTCTGCTGTGCTGCGAAATCCCTGCTCCAAGGCTGTTGATGGTGGGGCTGTCTTCGCAACCACCCTGATACCGCATGCACCTGGAACTGTTGCCTGTCAGAGGTTGAAAGCCTTGCCTGCACTGTATGTCAGCATTGGCACAAGAGAGAGCATGAGTCTCGTTCTGTCCGCCTCGATCACTTTAATGCTACCTCCGTCGTGCACACCTTGTCCCCCAAAGAATCTCCCGACGCACTGCGGACTAAACTCTTCACGCAAGATCTCGGGGGTCCTGAGCTGGGGTTCGTATCTTTCGTCCACTGGCTCATACATTCTGCACATGAATTAACGTTCCAACAAGGCAGGTACAAGTTCGAGATTGATGATTGCTTGACTATTTTATGAAGGGCAATGCATGTTTCTGTTTCTTTTGGGAATACTTTTCTCCCTCCAAGGGATGGACGCCTCATAGCAACGAGTGGAACTCAAGATTATTGTTCAAGGCGGAGGTCTCCTTGTGGCTGACGATGAAGACGCCTCGGTGAAGGCTCAAGTTGGGCCTTTGATGCTGGAATGGATTGGCATTGGCACAAGGGGCTGCGGTCCCCACTTGAGGATGGGGGATAACAATAATTCTGCAGTAGGCGACAGAGTTAATTGCCCTGGGCGTGGGGGAACCTCTTACTCGGGAGGCGGCTAAGGTCTCCTTGTGGAGGGGGATGCTACCCTTCTTGGAGGGGGTGGAGAGGGTCTCTTTGGGGGCGGCTTCTTGACAAGCGGCGGAGGTGACGGCTTGTGAGAGGGGGTTGGAGGCTTCCTGCTCGGAGGCGGGGGTGTTGACTTACGAGATGGAGGTGGCGGCTTCTTGACAGGCGGCGGAGGTGGCGGCTTCTTGACAGGCGGCGGAGGTGACCGCCTTCTTGACAGGCGGCGGAGGTGGCAGCTTCTTGACAGGCGGCGGAGGTGATCGCCTAGGTGAGGGT